GGGGGGGGGGGGAGGCCTGTCCCCAACAGGGACATGGGCACCAGGGGGAGCCCCCCCCATCACAAAGAGCCGTTGTGGGCACCGTGCAGTTCCATTCCCCGCCCCATTACAAAGAGCAGGATGACTTTTCCTCTCCCCCCCATTCTGCGCTGTCCCACGCCTCTGCAGCGCTGCCTCTTCTCCTTGGCTCCCTGGCCCCTCGCAGGTCCTAGGGAGGTCCCCTCAAGCTCTGTGACCACCTTGAGTGCTTGAAGGGCCATGGTAGGACAGAAAACAACTTCATTTGTGCTTGCTTGGATTAGAGCAGCGCCTCACCTGTAGTGTGCATGTGGGTCTGGATTGAGGAGCGGACCCGCAGCCTCGGGTTGTGCCTCCTTGATGTCCCACTGAATGCCAGGGCAGCCCTTTCCAGAAGGCCCTGTTTGTACCTGAACTGTCGACAACAGTCACACAGCTGCTTGTAGTGCTAGTGATGGCTGGGGCCTGGAAAGGGAGACCAGGGACCGGTGCAGCAGAGCACCTTCTCCATGCCAACAAGTTGAGGTTCCCCCCACCCCCAAACCTTTTTTTTTTTCTTCAGAAAAATGGTTTGCTCTACTTGTCTTACTAGTCTTTATCTTTTGGGCTATTTCTTAATAAGAGAGAATTTTTGAGTTCAAATACCATTGCTCTGATCATCGTGCCAATTCCAACCGTCTGTAAAACCTTTTTAACCTCTTGTGTTCAGATTTGGGCAGGGCAGGGCAGGTATTTTGTTTTCAGCTTAAATTCCCTTCCTCAGGGGTGTAAATGAAAGAGAGGAGTAAATTTTTACATCAGAGCTTCCTAGGAGGCCTTTGTTGGACAAATTACATGGCTATTTCAAGTTTCATGGCCAGTCTCCGGGAGGAGGAGGCTCCCCCACGGAAGCATGGGGGATGGCTCAAGTATTGCAAAGCCCAAGGGACAAAGCAGCTAATGTGTTTTCAGTCTGTTGTGGAGGGATGGGGTGGGGTGGGGTGTGTGTGTGGAGGGGTCAGGCGTCATGTTCAAAAGCAAATTATCTTCTGCCTATCACAGGCCATCAGCAACACCAAGCTGAAACAGGCCCTAGCTCTGCAAGCTAAAGCCTTCTTTGCTCACAGCCTTCCTGGGGACAGGTGAAAAAATCTGGAGATCCTGTTTGGGATCCTAAAAGAAGAGAAGCAAGACAAATAGCAAAAAATCACAGGCCTGGACTGCCGGAGAGCAGGTTTTGACTTGATCTGGGATATACTTGGCAGAATTCCCTGGACGATGGCCCTGGAGGGCCACGGGGCCCAGGAGTGCTGAGTGATCTCCAAGGAGCACGTCCTCAAGCCTAGGGGCAGTGAAGCATCACTCAGTGACGGTCGAGGTAAGAAGTGCTTAAACTAGGAAACAGAGCAACAAAAAAAAGGAGCAAATATTGGCCGTTCATACAATTGCAAGTTGCAGCACACAGACCAAAAAAAAAAAAAAAGGGAAGAGGGGCAAAAATTGAGTGCTCTACCTTCAGAGAAGTGTTACTGTTTGAGATTTTTTGCTTATATCACTGCAGAAAGACCAAAAAGAAGTCTGACAGAAACATCCTGACTTTTTTCACCTTGGAATCTAAGAGCTTCCAAAGCCAAGCGCAATTTGCAGTTGCTAATCAGTTGCTTACAGGAAAGGGAACACTTCTCTCTCAGCTGCTTTACTTTCATCCTTCCAAACCAGCAGTCAAGGCAGCAAGTTGTCAGAAACATCACAACAGGCAACAACTTCCACTGCAGTAATACAGGCAGCTCCTCATTTTCATCTGCTCGAGCATGTAAGGCTTCACATTGAGACTATACACAGGAACAAGGGAGCTGAAACAGAAGTTTAACTACACTGCCAGTTCCTGCACTCAGATGAGATAGATAGACGTCACAGAACTAGATGCAGATGACAACATGCATGGACTTGAGCTACTCTGAGATCCCAAAGCAAGGACATTTAAAGAATCAGTTCAACAACATAGGGATTTTCTTCAGCTTCAAGCCAATGAAGTTTCTGCTATGAAGTGCAGCATATAGGAATGAAAGGCTCACGTATCTCTATCAGTTCTCTTCTCAGCATCTTTTTCTTCCCTCCTGGGAAGGACCGCACTTCTCAAACTCAGTCCAGCAGAAACAGTCCATTTTGTAAAGAGCCTCAGTGCTTGGTATGCAACAGCAATAAATGAAATAGGAGAAAACAGAGACAGAGTCCAAAAACGCAGGCACTGACACTTTGTTTGATGCAGCATCTAGTTCATTTCTACTCTCAACGGCTCTGGCTTTGGAATTCTTTATTTGGTTTGAAGTTACACAGAGCATTGATCCTATGTCCAAGATCCCTCCCACCTTTTACCTGCCTGGGTGGATAACCAGTAATCCAGAACATTACTAGAGGCAAGATCACGGTTGACTGAAGCTACTAGAAGAAGGCAGAAATTGGCAGCATGAGAAATGACTGCAGGGAGACTAACTCCCTTCCCCTCTAATCCTCCTGTTCTAGGCTCCTGGTAAACACGTAAAGCAGTAAGACTTCTGTCAAAACATAGGAAAGGGGGAAACACGTTCCCTAGGTGCGCACCCTCCAGAACTGAAGTCTCTTCTACCAAGAGATGCTACCTAACCCTACCACTGAGCTAGACTTGCACTGCTTCACAGAGCACCTGGAGAGACGCCACTGCTCTCCATCAAGCTGGGGCAGATGGGAGCCCTTATCCAGTAGGAGTGCTCTCTGCTGCAAGGAGCAAGAGGCACAGCTAGCATCTTCACTGGAAGGCAATATGGGGCCACTCCTCAGCCACAGGTAGGTCTTGTAGGTTTTATTCATGTCTCTTTTCTGGAAGGTCTGCGTTTCCTCCTTCACTCCAAAGCAGCTAGTTCCTCCAAAAGCTGCTCTTTCTCCTGCTGCAGCTCCTGCACCCGCTGTTTGTTCTGCTCCAGTCTGTCCTCCAGCCACTGAAGAAGCGGCCCACTGATGGCAGACATCTGGCTGCAGAGGTTCTTCGTGAACACTGGAAAGAGCAAGAACACATCATGCCAGTGCAAATGACTCAGTGTGCTACAGAAACCCCAAAGCCAAGAGCATTATGGAGCGTCAAAGAGGCTCTACAGGATCCTGGCCAGGGCAACCAGTGATCCCCACAGGAGAGTCAGAATCAGCAGCTTTTCAGAGAGGGAAACAAGTTATTTCGCCTTCACCTTTAGACACCTGGGGGAAGGAGGACAGCTCTACAAAAGGAACCTGGAAAATCACATATAAGCCTGCCTCAACGCTAATTCATTTCCACACGCAGAAGTGAAGAAGGCGGCCACGTCTACTGAACAGGTAAGAATGGATGACAAAGTATTTATTTTACAACAGAAAGGCGCTTAGGATACAGTCTAACTCACTGGCAAGAGCAAGGATGTCATAGGGGTGTAACATACGTGAAGCGCCAGGAGAAGTAAGTAGTGTCTGCCTGATCTGTACACATGCTTTAAGACTCACCAAAACAATCATCCCTTGCCATTTTAAGTGGAGGGACAAAAAAAAAATCTATTGAGATTTTTTAACAATTTAATGCAGGGTTCCTTAAGGAATCCAAAGGATGCAGTGGCATTCATTCCCCTGGAATTAGGTTATTTTACAACCCTCGACATCTGCCTTCAAGGTGTTTAGTCACATTTCCATCCCTCCTCCAGACTTTATCTAACAGGATAACATAGTCACAGAGAATTCTTCAGGTTATACAGTGTTTGGGATTGGAAATGAACTCTACGGTTTACAGGTTAAAAAAAAAAATTGAAGTACTTCTGTGGTTATTTACAAGCGTCCTTTATGAACAAGCAGGCACTGCAGCTCACAAGGACTGTTAGCCAGCTGTGGGCTATTGTCCCTTACTGGCAGGGCCAGAGTGACCATTACTTAAGGTTCAGCTCACAGAGCCCTGTCCAGCACTCACAGGCAAAAGAGGAAACCTTACCTGAGCCATTATGAATCTTGGTTACGGAGTCTAGATGGGTGAGGCTAAAAGAATGAACAGAACGCAGATCGGTGACAAGACAGCAGTGAATTATGTGTTAGGCAAACCCAAACTATGGAAACGGAGACCCACAAGTCACTGACAACATAGGTACTTCGAGACCTCTTCATTTGTTGGAAGCCCTGTACATGCCCAAGGCTAACAAGCCAGCTACTTGCTATACAAAAACAGCAGTCTCTATCTTGAGTGCCAGATGCAAGAAAGCCACCCAGCTGACATCTAATCTCATTTTTTTTTGACTGCTCTTCTCAGCACTCTTACGCTGGTTAAACACTAGCTACAATCACACACAGCCACAGCACTAAAGTGCCACCATGAGCTTATACATGCTCTAGCTCTTTTCTGTTGCAGCAGCAGCAGCAGCGTTGCGCTTAGCTGTTGTGCCATAGGAGTAGTATGCAAATCGCATGCTGCTGTGCAAGGCAGAGAGTGCTTGAACTCCTGAACATGAAGGTATTCAAACAGTTCTCCCTGTTTACATAAAGTGATAATGCACTAAGTTTTTACATCCATGCTAAGACTACAGTGCTTTGAAGTATAGCCACTGCAGAACCTGTTCGCAGAGACAGTCCTGGAGAGGGATGCAGCCCCAGCATTTTTACCTGTGAATCCTCCTGTAGGCATCTTGCTCTTCCTGGCAAAGGATCTTGGGCAGCTCTACAGCTGATTCCAGGCACACTTTCCCAATGGTTTCATGGGGGACAACATGAATAGGAATTTCAATCCTTTCGTATCTAAAAAGGTATCAGATGCAATTAACTTCAAAGTAGCAAGGCAAAAAAGCCTGTCCGACGCACGCCACCGCTACAGGTTTAACTTTGGGAACGCATGCCTGTGTTGATAGGCAAATGGAAGCCTTTTATAGCCACTCTCTTATCTCGAAGTTTAATGATATAACCCCCACAGCAACTAGACTGTCAGTACAGTCATGTCAGTACTCATGCACAGCATGTGTCCAGTAGACGGGGACCCTACACCATAGGAGGAAGGCTTAGGAAAGCCTCTGGAGTTAAAAGCAAGAGGTAGGCCCTTCTGCACGATAGGTTGCAGCACAGTTTCAGGCCCAGACTAAACAGATCGCAACTCAAATTCAGGCCCAAACTACTACGTTCTACACCAGGTCTTAAGTGCCTAAATTATCAAGGCTAATTTAGTCAGCCCTACCGTCTGGCTCTACTGTTCTCTTCAAGCAACCTCCATCAGCAGAAGCAACGACACCTTGTTTACACATCTCTCTGTGATATTTGTTCCTTGCTACGAACTTGGAAGCCACACATTGGAGACAACCCAGAACGCTGATTTTTAAAAGGAGAAACAAGATCAAATACAACCTGAAGCTGGACGTATTCTCCTGCTGTACTTACTCTGAGCTCTTCTGGGCTTGAATGGACTGGAAACAAGTGTAGAGAATCCTGCCTGTCTAAGAGAGCCATCAGAAAAGTCATATTCCAAGTAACGAAAAATCATTTAAAAATCCAGAATTCTTTTAGGAAGCAGAATATGCTTTCAAATAGCATTTGAACACGTTGCAAAGGTAAACAATTTCTGCTCTGACTGATTGGTAATGCTAACAAGCAGGAACTGATCTACCTGTTAGCTATGAAAAAAGAAAAAAAAAAAATCTTACAGCTTTTTGGAAAACTAGACAAGACACACCACTGCCAGCCCATCTCACGCTGTAGTAGCAGCTCAGATAAATTAAGCGCTCTGAAAAAGCACAAGGGGCCACAGGCACAAAGATGAAATAAGCTAGTTCTGCCAAACAGATGAAGAGCATTCATTTGTTTAAATGCACACTTATACTGAGTCAGCCATCTGATTCAGTCCCAGAACCCGATTCCCACACAGTTCTACTGACTATCGAACCAGGCTGTGGATGAGGAAAGAGTAATAACTTATTTTTCTGTGAATCAGGATCATGCCCCAAACATCAGCGTTCTAGTCACTCTTTGACCTTGCTGCATACCGAGCACAGCCTTTGTTGCAGGTTGCATCCAAGGGCAAACACCGGATTTCAGCTTTGCCTAGGGGCTGACACTTCTCACGGATACCTGAAGGGCTTATCCCCAGTTGTAAGCTGCCTACCTTTGTGTTTTTGTCCTCAATGAAACAGGAGAAAATAAGCCCTACAAAACCCTGGTCCATCATCTGATACATAGCTTGAGTGCGGACATCTGCAGATAGACAAAAAAAGACGAGCAGAACTTCGTTGGTCATCTGAACAACTGAAAAAGAGACTTGCCACCTTTCGAAGGGTGGCTCTGAAACGCGATAACAATCACAAGCTCTATTTTAAAGGACTTACTCCAGGACGCTAAGTTAAGAGACAAAGAAAAACAAAAGGCAGCCAACTTTAAAGGAAAGTAGCCTTTTTCCACAGAACGTTACACCTTGATCCAACTTGAAAATAGAATTAAACAGCAAATCTTTAAAATAGAAGATGAAATAATGAAGTAAAAACCAAAAACAAGCAAACAAACCAACCAACCTCTACAAACCCACAATCTTAGCAACAGCCTGGTGCCACAGATCAGATATATAGCCATGCACATCCAATGCTCCTAAATGACTTGCACGGTTCTTTTGAAGAAATTTTTGCATCAACACAGCTGCCAGAAACCAACACAGCAGGACTATCATTCCCACAGCTCTTTCATCATTTCCCATGCCTCTCGTTTGCAGCTCTACTTGCCTGGAAGAACAGTAGCAATCGCAACAACTAATCTGAGCGATGTGCAGTTTCAGCGCCTGAAGCACAGCCGCTGTGCTGGGGTTACATCCCACAAACAGGAGCGTGGCTATTTCCCAAAGCCCATCAAGACAATCTCATCCTAGAGAGGCCCTTTGGAAAACCAACATCTCCTACCTGTGAACCATTCCAGGATTTCCTCCTTCCCTACAGGTCTTTTAAGTGCGTGTGGTGGTTCCTGGACTAGTGAGAACCTCAGGTCAAAGCTCACAGAGCCAGGAAGGCCGAGCAGCCCTGTCCTACCAGGACAATCAACCCACATCATGAACCCCGGGGAACGCCACAACTTTGAGAGTTGTGAAGCGCAGATTCAAAATTCAGTAGATTTTGAGTAATACAGTTAGCAAGCTGTACGTTTTCATACAGAGCCTCGTCCAAGACTTCTCTTACCCACGTGCGATGGCCAGACAGTGATATGAGGATGAGAGTGGTACCAGCCCACAACTCTCATGGGACGTCCCGTCATTTCAGCCAACCTGTGTGTCAGTCAAGGTCCTTCTGATACTCTCAGAGCAAAGGGAAGAAATTCTTTGTACAAGCAAAACAGCAAGTACAGGATGGCGTTTAAAAAAAGTTTCCCAGATTCAGTGTGACTTCAGATCACTTTAGAGGAGTGACAGGTACCTAGCAGGAAACCTCTTTCCCACTGATCAGTAAAATACTCCTATTGCTCAGCAGAAGCAAAATGGATTTTGTTTGCAAGCGGAAACACATGACATGTAAGTAAGCCGTCCAACACAGCATCCTTAAGCTTATGCAGGGGAAAAGCCCTACAGTGCACCACCCCTGGGAGCAAGGGCTTGTTAACCTTTTACTTTCTACTAAGTTTCCTTGCTGTACTTAATAGTTGTTGCTAACTGGAAATAATGAAGAATTTGCATTTGTAAGCTGAACTACTACCCCCTTAAAAGTGTAATTTAGAATTTTATTTGTAATTAAACAAAAAAAAAGCCAACTATAACAATTAGTTATTACACAACTCCACTGCAAATGCTGGAACCAACACAGACTCCAGAGAATGGCAACTGCCAGCCTGGCTTTCCAGTCTGAACTGTGGGAGGGAAGCAGCTGACAACTTTGGGCAATCCAGAATAAGTCTTAAACAACTGCCTGCAAAAAGAGACCTGAGCTAAACCGCTTGGTCAGTAAGTTTTTATGTTTTCTCTGGGAAAGGATATCTCCGCTTCAGTAGAAGCAGCTGAAAGCTGCTCCGGAGAAATTTCCACACGGTCTTTCCTCTTATCGGAGCGGCGCAGGATGATCACAGAGTGGATGTGCACAATTCTGCTCGTATCAACCTGACCGGGGGAAGAGGAAAAAAAAAAAAAAAAAGTTTATTTGCTAAAGAAACGG